TATCATCATCATCATCATCATCATCATCATCATCATCATCATCATCATCATCATCATCATCATCACAGTTTGCAAAGTTTTAAGACAAGAGGGAGATGTTGCAGCCTGGCCATTTTTAAGTTGCAATGAAGTACATATTGCTTGTGATCCTAGCAGGGGGCTGCTCCCAACATTTGGGAACAGATTCCCTCCCCCTTCTTGATCCACAAGCTACCCTGAAAATGAAGATAGCTGGTTTTTCTGGTGGGCCTGGAAAATGTGACAGATAGACCAGCACCAGAAAAAGGAGAGGAGCTGAAAAGGAGCCCACGGAGGCTGTGCTGCCAGTGGCCTGTGTGAAGTTCCGCAGGCTGCCTATTGACACACATGGCAGCAGATCAAATACACTACTAGGAAACCCAGAATTCCTCTTCATCCAAATTACCTGCCACCAGAGCAGCCACAATCTGGCTTTAGGGCAGGGCAGTGAACTCTCTCAGCCTGCAAGCCAGATGTGGCCAGAGAGGATTCCTCCAGCTAGCCCACAGGCTCTTTCTACTGATAACTTCCAACCAGCTGTTACCAATCAAAGGCTATTTAAGGCTCTTACCGGAGGGAATTCAGCAGGGAATTCAGCCCTGATTTGCACATCAGGAAGCTGTGGCATGGTGGCTCACTCTTGGGCAGGCAAGCAAACTGGTGAAAAATGTGGCCCTGTCCAATTGGCCTTGGCCATCTCATCCCGCCCTGTGCTCACAGCTGCCTCTGGAGACCCCAGGACCCTTCCCAAACTAGAACTGAATTCACTTCTGAAAAAAGGTCCCTCATTGATTCTTAACAACTGTGAAAAAGAGACAAAAAGTTCTCAACCGGTATGGTGGTGCACTTGCCCACAGGACTCCATGCTGCCTTTTCTTAGCCAGCTGGCTTCCTACTTGAGGAAGGAATACCAGACCACAAGCAACGAACGTCCTTGGCAATGAGAAGCCTGGTCAATCTGGCCTTTTATTCCACTTATCCCAAACCCAAAGCATGGAAAGTGACTTTTAAGAAGAATGAATATTATGAGAAGTTGAAGGCATCCATAGCTGTGCAGTGCACTTGGGGACCCTGCATCCTATACCATTGCTCTGTTATAGATGGCTTCCATGTGCCACTATATTTCATCCTCCTTCCTTCCAGACCGCCCCCCCCCAAGCCCACACATAAGAGTTTTAGCCCACATACGTTGTGTAAGCCCTTGTGCATCACGACGTCTCTGTCTCCAATAGACTTCAAGCCCTGGATGACGTAACAGCCACCAAAACGAGAGTGCCTGTGGAAGGGGGAAGAACAGATCCCTCAGAACAGGAGCTGCTGATCAGCGAAAGAACAGCAACAGGATGAATGGAAGGCCTGGCAGAGAACACTGACTGAGAAATGGGGGACAGATGACCTCCAGAGGGGTGTATGATTGTCTACCAGCCAAAGGCTGTGGAGCTGAGAGGGAGGAAGGTGGGAATTATAGTCCTCAGCATCATTTAGAGGACTGAATAAGACTGTCTTCCTGCAGAGACTGAGTCTTTCCTTTTTAAGCTTTATAGTGGGCTCTTAACATTTTAATATTGGTTTGTTTGGGAGACAGGGTGAAATTTGTGATTTCATTAATTTTTTAAAAAACAGGCAGACATTTTTACAGAGGTGTAAAAATTTCCCAGTTGAGATATATTCAGTAGTGAGCATTAGCCCAAATCTTATATATATAAAAATAAGTACGGAGTCTATATATATATATATATATAGGACAATAGCTAGTAAAGCTTATGGGAGAGAAAAAAGGGGGGCAGCACTCAGAAGCAGTTCATGCTGGAGTTTACCTAGATCTCTCCTGGTGAATCAAAGGCTCACTGGGGAGGAGCCCCAACTCCGTTCCAGATCACCTACTCTGCATCCTGAAAGTCCCAAGTTCAATCCCTGACATCTCTAGTTAAAAGGATAAGGTTTCACCAGCCATGCAAAAAGACCTCCCTCTAGAAGAGAAATTATTTTTCTTGCAGCAGTTCCTGAATTTAGAAATGGTCCTCAATGATCAAGATAGTCTGTGAAACTCAGGAGGAGGAGGAAGACAGTGTGCCCCCAAGACACAACCTCCTCAGAGATGCTGACCTACTGCTCCGCTGGAGTACGCGGCTCTTCTTCTCAGCCAGTTCCTTCTGCCTCAAGGCCTCCAGCTCAGTGACGTCAGCATCCCGTTCCTTGGCTGAGCGGGCCTGCCCAGTTGCTGCCAGCTGCTCTGGCTTCTGTAGAGAACACAGAGACTTTAGTGTCTTCCTGCAACCCCAGCAAGGCTTACCCAACCAGGTCCCTAGAACTAAACATCCAAGAAGATGGTTAAGTCTACACTGCCTCTATTTACTCTTTCTCTAGAAGCCCTATTTAAAAAATGATCAAAATCCTGTTGCATAAATCATGAAGCTTAAGGGAGATCTTATTACCAGCAGGGGAGACTTGTTGGTAACTAAAGAGTTCCTGCTTTCATCCTGGGGGCTCACACAACTTGTGCACAATCAGTCTTATTGTGCGCAAGTCATATGAGCCTCAGTACCAGTGATTTCTTCCTGTCCGATACTAGTGGGCAGCTTGTCACGATCTGATGCAACAGGATTTTGGCCAATAAATTATGAGAAAAACCATGCCAGATTAAATGAACTAACCCACCACCTTCTCTCTCTGCCAGCAGTCAACCAAAGAAATGTGACTATTAAAATATGAGCACACTTGAACATGCCCATCTTTGCTTTTGCCCTCAAGGTGTGGTAGTTAAAGGTATACCACCTATGAACAGAGGTTCTCTTCCTAGCTAGTACAGCTAATAATAATTCATTCACTAATGTTTTATGGCACCTGCCCACATTAAAAAAAAACACCCAGGTCAGAATCGTGCTGAGAATTAACACATTGCTAGTGGCCACCATTTTCCACTCAACCAAAAGCTACCCTACTCACAGTGTCCCAGAGCTATGAGAGCAGTGGTTCCCAACCCCAGATGTTCTTGGACTACAACTCCCAGAAATCCTGGCCAGCCGAACTACTGGTGGAGGCTTCTGGGAGTTTTAGTCTTAAGAACATCTGGAGACCCAAGGTTGGAGACCACTTCTGATACTAAACCTCTCATACTGGTAGGTGTCAGTCTTTCTTGAATCAACACTCAATCTCTTATTCTTCCTTCCCATCACCATAAACTTTGGGATGCTACAAAACTCCTGGCAATTTAAGGCCCACTTCCAACACAAGGAATTTCAGCAAAATGCTCTTCCTTTAACAGGCTGGTGGTGCAAACAGCCCCTGGCAGAAATCACAGGCCTTGCCTTTGATCACCTTCTCCATCCCAAGCCCGCAGGCCCCGCCATCACTGGCCTACCTGATCCCGGAACATAAGGGACGCAATCTCTAGCACGTGCAGGCTCCATTGCTGCTCGCTCTGGGAGCTGGCCAGGAATTTAAGCAGGTCATCCATGCCACTGATATGCACAGCCCACAGCACTCGGTCATGGATGTTGGCGTCGTCATCAATATTCTGCAGTCAAACAGACCATAAGCTTGTGAAACCCTCTCAGTCTTAAGAAGCTCCAAAGTGTAGTGAATGTGGAAGCCGGTAAGTCTCTCATTCAGACTGAATGTCAGGCCAGCCACTATCTTTTAGCCTAACCCAGCCTTCCTCTTAAGGTGCTGTGTTACAACTCTCAAGACCTCCCCAGCCATGGAGGTAGTTCCGCACAGCTGGAAGTCACCAAGTTGGGAGAGGCTGTGAAAGATCTCAGGCCATCACATCTGAAACATGGGAGCAATCCCACATCTGTGGTTGAGCTAACGGGTGTTGTAAGCCTCCAGGCACTCCTTTAAAAAACCAAAACCAGATTCAGATCCTGCTCTAATTTGATACCAGCCTAGCCCAGGCAACTGCCCTTCACACAAGTACCTTCTCCTCATCAGGATCTGCTGGAACATGCAGCACATTGCGGACAAGAAGCAGGATGCGCTCGATTAACAGGTTATCCTCTTCCTGACGCTGTTCCCAATCCTGTAAGAAGGAGTGGATAAATCATCACAAAATATGCCCTCTGCCTCTGCAAGAAAAAGCTGCCTGGAGGGCAGTGTCTTTCGTCTCTTACCAGCCTCCGCCCCCCCAAATCCAGTCCTGCTCAATGATGTTTTGTCCACTTCCACAAACAATTCCACATCTTGGTTACCTTCTTCCTCACTAACTCTCCTGCTTGATGAACACACGGGGCCAGCCTTACATGTAATGCTAATGCAGGTTACTGATCGTCGAGTTCTGTCATGTTTCTGAATATAAGCTGATCATATAAAGAAGCCGTAGCTATTGTCCCAAACGTAAACCACAGTTAGTTGCCATGGTTTCTTAGAATCCTAGAACTGGAAGGAACGCTATGCATCCCTGAGTCCAGTCCCTGTCAAGAAGGCACAGTCGAGAATCCAATGCCCAACCTCTGACTTTGCAACCGAAACCACTGAACTATTATTCAGCAGTTCTTGTTGCTAACTATTGTTTATTATATGCTATCAAATCATATCTGACATCTGGAGACCCTAAATTTCAAGGCATATCAGGTATTTAAAGAGTAGTTTTACCAATGCCACTCCCCTCTGAGTTTCTATGGCTGAGCAGGGGAGATTTGAACCCAGATTTCCAGAATCCTATTCTGCCATTCTGTCCATTATGCCAAACAGGCTCTCTATTTGAACTGTAAGGTTATTGTGATAAGAACATATCACTACCTAGGTATCCTGAACGGTGCCTTATTTCTCCATCTACTCATCCTGAAATAAGAGCTGACAAAAGGAGCAGGAGACAGGCTTGTAGTTCGCTTGATAGTGCATTCTTGGCTAAAACAGCAAACCTTGGTTAATATAAACCAAGGTTTAATAGGATGTGATCAATCAAACTGCTGTAGAATGTTGACAGTAGCTGGACCTGGCACTCACCAGCTGCAGCAGATCATAGAGCTTCTCACTCAGCACCCCAAAGATCTTCTCATTGGCAAAGGCCTACAGGTAGGGGGGAACGTGTATTAAAACTGTGGTCCAAAAAAATGATCCCAAAACAGAAAATCCCCAAAGTGTCTAGCATAGTAGACAACACAAACCACATCTTTCCACCCTCGTCTCCAACACACTTCTTGAGCCCAAATCTCTCCCCTTCCATTGTTCCATGGACCAAAGCTCGCTCTATGTCTGAAGGCATCATGATCTTCAGCCAGCCACTGAATATGGCAAAGCAGCCTTGCCACAAAACTGTGAAACCACAGTAGCATTTCCCCAGGACCGCAGGGAGCGCAAGCATTCCAGAAGTCATGAAAGCATGCACTTATCACTATCTCAAGAAGGATCAGAATGGCCCCACTGCCCCCAAAACAAGACAGGAACATGGCTGGACCAGCTACTCACTTCCTTGTAAGCCTGAAGATAGGAGACAATCTGCAAGAAGTGATGACGGAAGCTGGCATCCTGGGGAAGTTTACCGAAGCAGAGGACCGCTGGCTGGGTCAAATTTACCATTAACCTGGGAGTTACAACCGAAACAAAACAGTTGGTGGCTCTGTCAATTACTGTGAAACGGCTTAAGTTCAGACCAGCTGAATGTTTGGACATGACCGTGGCGGTAGTGGTGCTATGCTAAAACCACCAGCCGGGAGCTATGAATTCTGCTAGTTAGTCTGCTCTGTTGATACAGGGTAAGAATTAGAAATAAAGGGGAGAGGAGAACAGCACCCGTTATCTGCAGCACACAAAGCCAGAGTGATGCCAGCGGATCTATCCATCACTTGGGGAGGTGTCAATTAAGATTCAAGAATATTTACGGGATGCACTTTATCAAGCGCTTATTGGCTCAGGTTCGTAAGGAAAGATACGTATGACTCCTGTGGCCAAGAATCCTACCAAGTTTATTTACACTACTTACTGTTTAGCCATACACTGTCATACAAGCGCCAAGGAAAGACCTGCATGTCGAAGACGCTATCACCCACAGTGTTAAGACACTGCGGTGATAGCATCTGTGACATGCAGGTCTTTCACACATGGTCACCCACTACTTAACACTTCTCATTGTTACAGCTTTATAGTGATTCCAAATCAGCCATTTCCCCCTCCACTCCACCTCAGGTACCTGATAACAGCATCAAAAAGCTGTTTTTCTTGAGGGTACTGGATGACGATAGGTATAAGGTCATTCTGTAGGATCTGAGCTGCCCCCAACTGTTGCCTAATATCCCGAGTCTCATCTTCGTGACGCAAGTAGCGGATCAGGTCCTTCACACTCTCTGGAACAGGTGGGAGAGAACACAAGGTGTGTAGGAACACAAAAGCACACGGCATTTCCATCCAACCACATAAAGCAAGAGAGTAGCAGGGACTGCCATTTATAGGTAGACAATTAGAAAGCCAGACCGTATTTTTGGTTAGAGGGGCCTTCCAAGTAAGGAAAGCTAAATAAAGACCCCAAACAGCCCTGAAAAAAAAGGCAATAAGCCTGTTACGTGTTATGCACTGTCAAGCTGGAACTGAGCTGTAGCAACCCCAACAGGGCTTACAAGGTGAGTGAGTTACTTAAGGAGTGGTCTTACCAATTCCACACCCTCCTCCCTAGCAACCCCAACAGGGCTTTCAAGGTGAGCGAGTTACTAAGGAGTGGTTTTACCAATTCCACACCCGCCTCCAATGAATTTCCATGACCAAGCAGTGATTCAGACCCAGCTCTCCTGAGTCCTAGACCATCACTCTATCCACTAAGCTACACTGCCTCCATTTTTCCTTGTTGATGACTCACTCAACTGGCTCCATTTAAAAACATATGACTTACAAAGCCCTCATCCCAGGTCTCTCACCTAAGCAGTCTGGCTCTTTGTGGTAGGTATCCCCCTCCAAGAAGCCGAGGGCGCTGCAGGTCGCCAAGAGTTCACAATTCATCATGTACAAGTCCATAAATCTCAGTCTAATTGAAAAAGGGAAACCTGTGGGATAGGAGGGAAAAAACAGTTCTGCTATGCCAGTGCTGGATTGTTCACAAAATCAACAAAAATCTGAGGTGCTGCTTAAAGTCTAATGTTAGTGCGTAGAAATAAAAACATTTTACACAGACTCAAAAGTGGCTGGCAATACAAATGTATACGCTGGTTGCCAAAGGATGTCAGGCAGTTACCCCTTGGAGGTGCAATTTTTTTTTAAAAAAAAATCCATTTTCCACTTATTTATTTGAATCGGCAGACTTCTTCTAAAGTTATCAAATGTATTATGCAGTATCATTTTTTTTCCTGAGTGGCAGAAACACACATATGTGGGAGGATTCAAATAACACCTACTGCAGTAGTTGCACCATAGCTAAAATTCCACCCATTTCCCATGACGCAGCTGCCTTGGGATGAATGATCACCACCTGACACAGACCTGGCCCCATCACCATGGGTACCTATGAACACTCACACATTGCAGAATGACAGACTGACAGTTCAAAGCACTCCAAGGTTCACTTTTCCATTGATATTCATCCAAACATTAAACACGAGAAATCACTTTGGTTTAAGATTTTAATTCACAATAAAAGCAACAGAAAAATCTGGTGGCACCTTAAAGACTAAGAAAGTGTGCTTGCCATAGGCTTTCATGGGCTGCAACCTACTCCTTCATATAACAGGGAATATAATCCACAGAGGTTTATGGCAAATAAAAGTTGTTAGCCCTTTAAGGTGCAACAAGACTCTTCTTTGGTTTTGCTGCAATGTTGTTGCTACGTATTGTCAAGTTGCCTCAGACATATGCCGACCTTATGAATGAGCAATCTTCACAATGTCCTGTTTTCAGCAGCCCTGCCCAGCTCTTGTAGACTCAAGTGTGTGTCTTGCTCTAGGGAGTCAAATCCAGCTGGTCTTCCGCTCTTCCTGCTTCCTTGCACTTCTCCCAGCATTACTGTCTTTTCCAGAAAATCCTGACTTCTCATGATGTTCCCAAAGTATGACAACCCCAGTTTCAACATGATTGGTTCATAATTTTTGCAATAGACTAAACCCATCTCCTTCCTTGGAAATGCATTCACATTCCGACAGCATGGCCTTACAAATAGGGACTCGGAAGCTATCTTCATTGTGTTCAATGGACCTCATGCCAGGTAACTGTATAGAATTTTCTTTTTACCTGCTCTTTTCCTTTGTTTCCTCCCCCATCCACTTTCTCCAAGTCCCACTGGGCTTTCTCTTTCTTCCTATAGACTCCTCTCTTTGTTAGCCCTTTTTCCTTTTCTTCTTCTTCACTGTACGGCTTTCTCTCCCTCCCTCCCTCTGTGCTACCACAGATCCGCACACACTTCCCCTGGGTATGCCATTCTTCTGCTTTTTCCCCAGACATGGGTGTTTCTGCCGTCTCGTTCCCCTGCCCCCTTCTAGTCTCTCTCTCTCTCTCTCTCTCTGTTCCATTACTGCAGGCCTGGCTCCTGCACCCCCACCGCCCTGCTCCTCTACTACCTGGCAGCTATCATGGACATGTTTTCCACACAGAAGCAGCAGTTACAAGTGGGAGGAATAGGACTGTTGGTTGCTACCAGCTATTCAGTCTGGCCCAAACTATCATCTACTATCAAATCTAAAGAGAGAGGAAAAAAACACACAAAAGCCAAAATCTTGTTATGCAAGAAAAACAACGTTTGGAGAACTCCTGCAAGTTTAAAATTATACTCCATGCATCAGAGGAAGAAGGTTGTTGTCCATGAAAGCTCATGCCAACAAATTTGCTAGACTTAACAGTGCCACAAAATTATTATTATTATTTTACATAATATAAGCTTTTCCTTCCAGTGTCTCCTAACCATTCATCCACCCACAAGTTGTCGATGTTTATACAACAAAGTTTGAAAGAGTGACAAACAATCCTTATCTGGAATTCCCTTCGGTGGGAACAAATAAACAGCAGGAGCAGCAACTTGCTGTTTGGAGGTACAGTACTTGCAATATATCAATGGTTCCCAACTTTGGGTCCCCATATGTTCATGGAACACAATTCCCAGAAATCTTGGCCAGCACAGCTAGTGGTGAAGGCTTCTGGATGTTTTGGTCCAAGAACATTTGGGGACCCAAGGTGGGGAGCCCCTTCAGTGAACCATACATTCCTCCATTTGTACAAATCACCTTACCTCGCCCACAGATCAGGATTATGACTGAGAACAAGAAATCTTTCCCTCCCCAGGATAAAGATTTTAAGTATACAGAGTTGTGGGATAAGGAAGTCACATTAAGTAATTCAGTAGCCCACACAGAATCTTCACTACCAATTGACACAGAAGCACCACCTGGACCACACAATAAAGCAGAATGTGCCAGCTTTTTCCAAGACACTTTAAAAATTCTTCAGTTTTCAGACATAATTGTACTGGCCGAGACGAGTTACAGGATGGGAAGACACCGACAAGTTACAAAAGGGAAACCACGTTGCCTGAGCCCTTACAGAACATCAGGGAAACTAGTGTTTTATCAAAAAGCGGTGGTGTCTTTTTGTTATGCTGCAGAATTATAAAGTGCAGAATGAGGAGCAACCCTGTAATCTGTTGAGAGCACTGTAAGTGGGAAAAGCTATAATAAAATAAACCAAAGCTAGCCACTGCCAACTGATTGGAATAGGATTGTGATTAACTGTACCATAAAAATGCATGTGAAATCTGACACAAGACTGCATTATTTATAGCACTGTAATAACATGGATAAAATCTTACCTGCCTATGTTTCAATTTTTCAAAAATACAGGCAGTCCATGGACAAAACAAAATGACTGCACAACGACCACCTTATCTGGAAGCACCCACAGCCACCAGCGGTGATTAGGAACTGAACGTTTTCCCCACTACAGTACTGAGAACAGCGTCCAATACATATGACAAGAGGGTCTGGTTTATTTTTAAAGGCAGCAGTAACCATGAGAGACAGAGAACACCTCTTTCTCTACCGAGCATCAGCATCAGGCTGCTAACAGAGCATGAGCCTCACGAGACAGCAATGGAAGCTTGCAACGAACATCAAATTTCCTTCCTAGACAAGCAGTGGGTGCAAAGGTGACACAATTTCCCTCCATGGGTCAGGAAGCAAGAGAATGGGATCTCACTGGCAACTAGAGAAAATAGGCGGCTACCAAGCCCACCCCAAAAATGGGCGCAGACTTTTCTCATGAGCTAAGTTTGCAAAATGTAACGAAATAGGCAAAACCTGCCATAGTCCCATGCTCCATATGGGTTTTCCTCCATCTATTAGGCATATAGTCTCTCCTCTTGCATGCACTATAGTGAGCAAAATAAAGGCAAACCAGCGGACTAAGATTTCTACATGGACTGCACAGATTATCCATCTCAGTTTTTGCCCCAAATAGTCAAGTCACATACTTTTTAATTTCCCCCAGCACAAGCATTAAACCCTGAATGATACAGGATCAAGACCACTCAACCCACACAAGATAGGAAGAGAGGATAAATGGCTCTCCTTTGGCTAGATCAGAAACTTTAGCAAGGTGTTCCATCCCCCCACCTTGGCGCATATGTTATTGCAATTTAGTTTACCAGCAAAACCTTCTCTATCCCAAGACTGTCATGCACACAAACTCCTGAAACACATGTGCAGCTGGAATCCTTCCAAAACCTCTGGAGGCTGCAAGAGACGGACAACTCAGCAGTGTGGCTGGCTGCAGAGAACAACAGGTGTGTACTAACAGCCGGCCAAATTCTCTTGATGCTTAAAAAGAGGAGACTGGCTCTCCCCACCCACTTCTGGTCAAGGCAGCTCCCTCCTCCATTGCTCCTACTTTGTTCACACAGATTTCGCATAACCTGGTTTATGTAATTGGTCCACTTATCAAGAGTGCCGCAGAGTTCTAACCTAATTTCCACTTCTTGTGGTTACAATAACTGAGGTCACTATGCAGGGGAGGAAGGAGAAGGGGAAATAAAGCAAAAGGTTTCACAGCACTACTTGCCTTGCTTAGGACGCACATCTGCATAACATGGTAGCACCTTAAATTGACAGATATTAATCTCTGTTGGAGTATCCATTTTTGCAGGACTAGAATATTGAATAAAATTTTGATTTAGGCCTTATAGAGAAGAGAAAGCATGCCGTGCTGAAGTTCCAATCCTTTTGCTAGTTTGGCATTTCGATACAAACTTTGGAAACTAGTAGTGGCATGCTAACTATGGAGAATGGCAGGTTAAGCATCATATCAGCAGTGCATGTAGCCCCTATAAAGACCATGTCTCCACACATGATGTGGCAAACCCAGGTTAGTTGCAGAGTACACTCTGAACAGGCATCCAAACCTGACTCTCTGGTGAGAGTTGTTACCTGTAACATATACTGTTTCTGAGTTTTGCACAACAAAGGAAGATTCTGAAAAAGGGTGTTGGAAGCACTCTCCCCCTTCCTGCGCACTTGTTTTAACTGTGCATAATGTCCAAATACAGTGAGAGAGGAGGAGAGAAATCAGGACACTTTACAGCCTTCTTCAGCTTAATTCCCATTGAGCAGAGCAGAATCTCCTGGAATCACCTTCTGAAATCTGGCTTGTAGGGAGACCTACAAGAGTCAATAGGGGCTGCATGCCCTGTTGTTCTTGGAACATCAGCAGCCTACCAGCATAGCCAAACTAATTTCAGTATTCAAATCAGGCAAGACACCAGGCTGAAACGGATCAAGACAATCCTTGCTGTCTAGAAACACCTGACTGAGTTGCCTTAACTGGTTCAAGGTCCTTGCCCAAGAAAAGGGTTTATGTGCCCCAGCCAGTAGTTGCCACAATCATCTGGGTCCTGGGGAAGCTTCTTTCGGAGTAATCTGACAACCATGAGCCCTTCAGGGCTGCTGGGTGTTTTCCCTCCACAAGGTATTTGAATACCGCAGGGATCAAACTAGAAAGATAAAAGGGACACATCACCATCAGCAAGATGCTCATACAGTAGACTGAATTGCGTAGTAAAGATAAAGGTTCC